TATATATACACACACACACACACACACCCATACAAACACACGCACACACACATACTCACATCCACACAAACACCACACACACACACACACACACACAATATATTATATATTATATTATATATTATATATATATATATATATATATTATATATATGTGTGTGTGTGTGTGTGTGTGGTGTGTGTGTGTGTGTGTGTGTGTGTGTGTGTGTGTGTGTGGTTGTTATGTTTATTTATTCAAATATATGTATATGTTTATCTATTTAAATATGTGTATATATACATTTATATTGAAGTATATATATAGATTTATGGTTATGAATTTGTATATATATTATATATATTATGTATATATATATATATATATATTATATATAATATAATAAATATATATATATGTATGTATGTATGTATATATACAAATATATATATATATATAGATATATTATATATAGATAGATAGATAGATAGGTAGATAGATAGATAGATATATATGTATTTACACACACACGCAATGGTAATGAGAAACTACTAAAAGTTTTTGTAAGTTTATTGAACATATCGTTAACAATTCAACAACAAACACAAGGCAATGATTGCATTCTCATGCATGATGACTATAATAATGGCACGAAAATATAATAAGAGTCCAAGAAAAAATATGAGGTGATATTTGATGACTGGATAATTGATAACAATGAACGAAGAGAAGGAAAAAATCAGCAGTTGAGAAAACAACGATACAAACACAAAACAAAAGAAACAAACAGAAAAAGTAAAAAACAAACAAACATAAATACAAAAAAACAACAACAAAACTAATAGTTGACGGAGCATTTAGGAAAATAGCTTGTTCATCCTAATTTCAAAATGTTCACTTCGTATACATTATAAACAAGAGAGGTTGGCTAAATTCCGGAGGGTTCGCGTGCTTCTCAAAACAAAAGAAACAAACATACAAAAAAGTAAAAAAAAATAACAATAGTTGACGGAACATTTTGGAAATAGCTTGTTTATAACTTCAAAATATGTCACTTCGTATACATTATAAACAAGAGAGGTTGGCTAAATTCCGGAGGGTTCGCGTGTTTTGACCTCTCTTCTCTGTCTGGTCGAAGCTTTTCGGATTCGAAGTGGATCATCGGGGGATTCGAAGCTTCGTTGGGGTCGATTGGGCGAATAAGACGTCTCGAATGCCTGTTTTGCCTGCGCCGCCGTTGGGAAGGGGGTTGTGATGGCTCTGGTTGTGATTGGGAGTTAGTTGTGGTTTGTGTTGTGATTGGAGTTGGTTTGTGGTTTGTCTTGTGATTGGGAGCTGGTTTGTGGTTTGTGTTGTGATTGAAAATTAGTTTGTGGTTGTGAGTTCATTTGTAAATGTTCATATGACTGAGAGTTCGCTTGTGATTTCTGGTGTTGTGGTCCTCGAGAGTGATGTTTGTGACTGTCTATTTGGGGATTCTCGAGTGTGGTTTTTGTGATTGCACGTGTACTGACTGGAGTCTAAACCACTGAATTGTTGCGCTTGGGAAGTTTTGCGCGAAAAATAAATGCGACCTGTTTTAACTCCCTCTGGTTCAGGACGCGAAATTTGTGTCTCTGACTCTCTGCTTTCTCTACCTTGAGCTTGCGTTTGTTCAGGCTGTTGATCTAGCAGCGGGAAGGGGATTTTCTGATGGCTTTGTGCTTGCCGCTGATTTTGCGGAGTCTGTGGTTGCAGCTGACCACGTTGGTTGTGTTGTAATTGAGTATGGAGGCTCGGTGGGTAATACTGGTCTGTTTGGCTGGTCTGGGCTGCAGTTGCACTTGATCGCGCTGGCTGCTCTGAGGAAGAAACTGGTCATTCTCCGAAATCTGTGAACTCTCCGCGGTTACCTCAGGCGCGTGGGACAAGGGGTCATGGCGCATGTTCGGTGGGAATGCGTGGCCATTTAGCTGAATGCCTGGGCTGACGTCGCTGTGGGTCGAGCTTTGAAAAGTTGTTGGCTGGAAGTCGTTTTGTACATTTTGAGTTATTAGGTCAACGCTTTCTGTATCTTCTGCTTTGACTTGAAGATCAGTTGTTCCACTCTGAGTCGACGAATGACTATCTCCGTTTGATATCTTCGGGTTATCGCCATTTTGTAAACGCAGGGGCTCAAAACTATTGAAAAATGGAGTTTGTGACCGAGTGTGGATGGGTTTCCGATTACGTAATCCGGTGCCGTTTTCGTGAAGAATATGCGCTTCGTTGATCGCGATTTCCCTTGACTTGAATTTGCATTGCTCTGTTGCGTCGTGTTGAATTGGTTGATTTTGCAGTTGGCTAATTTCCCCTTCTTGGGCTGCCTGGGTTTCTGGTTCTGAGAGAAGTTCGTGAGGTCTTGGCTTGAGCTATGACTTTCTTCGTCTTGAACTCGAGTCCGAGTGTTTGGAGAAGTGCGTGGTCGCTCTAGATTTTCGAATTTTTGTATCTGTGGATCTCTAATGTCAACAGCAGCCATTATTTGCGGCTTGTGGTGAATGTTTAAGGAAGAAGGCGATGGCACATTGTTATCATCTTTCTGAGTTTCAGAATTTGCGTTCTGAAAGTATTTTTGCCTGTTATACGTTTCCAGACCACCATTTCCCTGATTCTGCGACAATGACGGACTCCTTTTGATGTTTTGGGTCGCAAAGTCTTCCGTTTGATGGCTTTGTGATGCAAATCCTTCATTTCCGGATTTTGTGATGACAGATTGCCCTTGAACAGTTTGTCTGATGTATTTTGGAAATCATTTTGTAAGACTCCACTTATTGGATTTTGTGATTCAAAGTAATTGTATTCCTAAACGGGTTTCCAGATTTTGAGGAATCGTATCATTGTTTTTTAATTCGTCTGAACTGGTGTTCTCCAGATTTATTCCTGGCGACCTATCACGGAGATCTTTCCTTTCCGAATGATCCGAAAGTGACTTACCTCTATTTTGTGGCTCTGTGTCAGTCGGGCTCTTTTGTGAATTCAGTGTAATTTGGGTATACTCAGGATTGAAGCTGTTTTGAAAATTCTGCGCATCAAAATTGTTTTGAGCACCAAGAGATTCGTAATAAGTGAAGTCCCTCGTTGGAGGCTGCAAACGCCCACTTAGCAGATGACTAAATTCTGATTCAACATTTCCCAAAGTTTCAGACTGAAAATTGTTGTTTTCTGATTCTGAGACTGGAAACGATCCTCTAGATTTTGAGACTGAAAATCATTGTTTTCCAGATTTTGAGATTGGAGATGATTTCCTAGATTTTGTGATTGAAGATGGCTGTTTTCAAGATTTTGAGACTGGAAATTATTGTTTTCTAGATTACTCGCGTTACTATTTTCCATATTTTGTGATTCAGGTAATCGATTTTGGAAATCCTTTGATTCTGAAAAACTTTTCCCCAGATTCTGTGACGTAAATCGCGAATTGAAACTGTTTTCTTCGAATTGGTCATCGGAAGTGCCCTGGATATTTTGCGATTTTGATTGAGTGTTGTGTGAATCAAAATGGTTGTTGGAATTTTGCGAGTGGAAAAACCCAGGAATTAATAATTGTGAACCAGTATTTTCCCGATTTTTAACACTGAAATTATCATTTTCCAATTGTATCGTGTCGGAATGCTTTAACTTTTGCTCCTCAGATGAATCATTTTGGAGGTTATTCAATTCTGAAAAGCCTTTTCCCAGAGTCTGGGCCTCAAAATTACCTTGAATATTCTGTGATTCAAAATTGCTTTGGATATTTGGTGAATTAAAATTACTTTGGATATTCTGTGGATTAAGAATAATATGAGTATTCTTTGAATCAATATTGTTTTGAATATTCTGCGATTCATGATTGCTTCGAATATTCTGTGCAGCAAAATTACTGTTAATGCTCTGTGAATCAAAATTATTTTGTACATTTTGTGAACTGAAAGCACCTGAAATACTTTGTGATTCACTGTTGCTTTGCTGGTTAAGTAACTGAAAATTGCTTTGATTTTGTGAACTAAAACCATTATGAACATTCCGAGAAGCGCTGCTACTCGGAGTCTGGAAATTGAAATTGTTTTGACTATTTTTCTGTTGGAAGTGATTGAATTCCCTTAACGGCGGTTGGAAAAGCCCACTTCGCAGATATTCCAATTCCGAATCGACATTTCCCAGATTTAGAGACGTGAAATCGCTGTCTTCTGGATTTTCAGAATCTTTTGTCGAAAAGTTATGCGATTCCTGTGATTCTCTAAAATCTGATTCTGAAAGAGCTCTTCCCTTGCCTTGAGATTCGAAACTGTTTTGTACATTGATATTACCTTGAATACTTTGGTTACTTTGAAGGTTTTGTGAGTTGAAATGACTTATTGGTGCTGCAACATTACTCTGAATATTTTGGGAACGAGAATTCTGCTGAATACTTTGTGATTCAGAATTATTTGTAAGCATAATATGATGTGTTTGTAAGTTTGGATTACTATGAATATTTGGGTTAAAATGACTTGGGATATTTGATGAATCGGGAACACCCTGAGTATTTAGTAGAGAATGTATGGAATCAAAGTTTTCCAGATTCTGGGAGCCAGACTTGTGGCCTTTCAAACTTCCCGTTTCGGAGTTCTCCAGATTTTGCTGTTGAAAAGACCCATTTTGCAGATTCGTCGGCCCGATTAGAGATTTCCCCGAGTTTTGGTGCTCGGTATTTCCTTGATTACTTAGTGAACCGAATTTGTTATGCATTGATTGTTTGTTTTCAATATTGCTTGGATGAAAATCGTTGTGAAAATTTGGTGAATTAAAAATGCTAGGAACCGTTGGAGAATCACCGTTCCTCTGATGATTTTGAAAATCGATGTTACCTTTAATTCCAGACTGGAAATGGCCGAATTCCCTAACTGGTGGATGGAAAAGTCCACTTTGAAGGTGTTTTAATTCTGAATCGAAGAATTGCAGATTTTGTGATGGGAAATCTCTGTTTTCCTGAACCTCGGACCCAGATTCATTAGTAAATAGTTTTTCCAAATCGAATTCTTCAAGATTTTGTGAATCTGATGGTTCGATTCCGAGATGCGTGGAACCTGAGAGAGTTTTCCCGAGATTTTGATCAATGGATAATTTGGTATTACTGTCCGGAATATTCTGAGAATCAAAATTACTTTTAATAGTTTGGGAGCTAAAAGTGTTCTGTAAACTGGAATTACTTTGAATATGTTGTGAGTCGAAGTTACCAGGAACATTTTGTAAACTTAAATTATTTCGAACATGTTGCGAGTTTAGGTTATTTGGGATATTCTGAGTATTATGCAGACTTTGGAAATTTGTGTTAAAACTGGTTTGAAAGAACTGTGAACTGGAGTCGTCTTGAGTATTCTGTAACGTTACGCTTCTGGTAACATGTTCTGGATTAAAATGACTTTGATCGTGTCCAAAATTAAAATTGTTTTGAATGCTTTGCAGAGTAGGATTTTCTGATTTGAAATTAAATTCACTTACATTCGAGCCGATATTTGAAACTTGTGTTTGGAAAGTAGTCGGATGTTCTTGGGTGTTTATAATACCATGAATATCTGTAGGATTTTGGAAAGTCTGTGTACTCGAATCACTTGGATATTTGTACCAACTAATTTACTATGAATATTCGAGTCCATATTGGTATGATATTTGATGGAACGAAATTGCTGTGAGTTCTACTGAATGAAAATTAGTTTGAGGATCTTGAGTGTCAGAATCAATAGTATCCTCAGCATCTATGGATTTAAATTTGCCATGAATGTTTTGCGAAGAGAAATTATCTTTGTCCTCAAAATTATGTTGAACATTGGGCACTTGAGGAATCCCTTGAGTGACGAAGCTGAAGTTGTTTTGAAAAGTATGTGAAGGGGGACTGCTTTCAAAATTACTTTGACCAGACGAAATCTGATCCGTGTTCAGAGGATTTTCAGTTATAGATTTTCCCGGATTTTGAAACCCGGTTTTGTTAAACTTTGAAGATATCGATTGGTTTTCCTGAGAGTGGATTTCAAGGCCGCCAATCTTCAAATCTTGCTGCTCTAAATCAACATTTTGTAAATTTTGCAAAGGACCATTGTCCAGATTTTGAAAACTTGAATCGTGATCTCCAAAAGTTCCGTTTGGTTGATTGAGTGGTTGCAATAACGCCTTTCCAAGATTTACTTGTAGAGTTGATATGATTTTGGCTTTGAGATTGGAAGTGATTCGGATCTTGGTTTTGATTTACGAAGTTATGCCAATTCTGCGTCGGGCTGGGAGTTACCGTCATCCCGGCTCTGATGTAGAAAGTTATTCTGATCCCGAGTTTGAAATTGGGAGTCACTCTGATTCTGGACGTGGTTCAGAAAGTCATGTTGATTTAGAAAGTTATGTGGAGTTTGAGTTTGAGATTGGAAGTTATTATCCTGATTTTGATTCAGAAAGTTATTCCGATTTTGAGATTGGAATTGAAAGTCACTCTGATCCTGTTCTTGATTTTGAAAATATTTGCTGATTTTGAGTTACATTAACATACTGATTCTGGTTTTGATTTAGCAAGTTACTCTGATTTTGAATTTGAAATTGTAAGTTACTATGATTTTGATTTTCATTTAAAAAGTTATTCTGATTTGAGACTCAAATTGGGATTTATTCTCATTGTGGTTTGGGTTTTGCAAGTTGAATGGATTTGAAGTTTGAGATTGAAAGCTAATCTGATCTTGGTTTAGATTTGCAAATCTTTTATGATTTTTGGGTTCAGATTGGAAGTTATTTTGATTTTGAGTTTGAAATTGGTTGTTTTGATTTTGAGTTTGAAGGTGGAAGTGCTGAGCCTGGTTTTGGTCTTCAAAGCTATTCAGATTTTGTGTTTCAAATTGGAAGTTATTCAGATTTGATTTTTGATTTTGATTTAGAAAGTCATCTTGAATTTGAGGCTGGAAGTTATTCTGATTTTGGCTTTGATTTACAAAGTCATTTTGTGACTGGAAGTTTTGATTTTGATTTAGAAAGTCATTTTGATTTTGATTTAGAAAGTCATTTTGATTTTGATTTAGAAAGTCATTTTGATTTTGATTTAGAAAGTCATTTTGATTTTGATTTAGAAAGTCATTTTGATTTTGATTAGAAAGTCATTTTGATTTTGAATTAGAAAGTCATTTTGATTTTGATTTAGAAAGTCATTTTGATTTTGATTTAGAAAGTCATTTTGATTTTGATTTAGAAAGTCATTTTGATTTTGATTTAGAAAGTCATTTTGATTTTGATTTAGAAAGTCATTTTGATTTTGATTTTGAAAGTCATTTTGATTTTGATTTAGAAAGTCATTTTGATTTTGATTTAGAAAGTCATTTTGGTTTGATTTTTAGAAAATTTTGATTTTGATTTAGAAAGTCGTTTTGATTTTGATTTAGAAAGTCATTTTGATTTTGATTTAGAAAGTCATTTTGATTTTGATTTAGAAAGTCATTCTGAATTTGAGACTGGAAGTCATTTTGATTTTCATTTAAAAAGTCATTTTGAATCTGAGGCTGAAAGTTGTTTTGGTTTTGATTTAGAAAGTCATTTTGTTTTGATTTACAAGATATTTGATTTAGAAAGTCATTTTGATTTTGATTTAGAAAGTCATTTTGATTTTCATTTAAAAAGTCATTTTCAATCTGAGGCTGAAAGTCATTTTGATTTTGATTTTGAAAGGCATTGTGATTTTGAGGCTGGAAATTATTTTGATTCTGGTTTTGATTTAGAAATTTACTTTGCTGTAGACTGGGAGAGTTAAGGTTCTGATTCTGAGTGAAGTTATTCTGATTTTGAATTTGAGATTTGAAAATATTTAGATTTTGATTTTGATTCTGAAAGTTGTTTTGTTTTCCAGCTTGATTTTGAGGAAAGTTATTTTGAATCAAGGGTTGAGTTGGGAAGGTATTGTGATTTTGAATTTGAATTTGAAAGTTATCCTGATTTCCGTTTAGATTCGGAAAGTTATTTTGATGTTCGTGAGATTGGAAGTTATTTTGTGGTCTAATTTGAAGTTTGGCGTTGTTTAGATTTAGATTTTGAGCTTGGAATTCATTGTGGCTTTGAATTTGAATTTGCAAGTTATCCTGATTTCTGTTTAGATCCTCGAAGTTATTTTGTCTTATAGGAAGTTTGGCGTTATTTAGAAGTTGAGTTTGACCATGCAATATATTCTGGTTTTGATTTTGACTTGGGAATTCGTGATTTAAAAAGGCATTTTGATTTTGATTTTGATTATTGTGATTTTGATTTAGAGACTGGAAAATGTGTTCACTTTGGAAGTTATTTTCATTTTGGCATGGAAATTGTTCCTATTTTCATTTTGAAATTGAAAGTTATTATGATTTTGAGTTTGAGTTTGAATTTGAAATACACTGTTTAGAGTTAGATTTTCGTCATTCATTTGAGGTATGAATATATTCTGTCTAAAATTCTCTTTTTGATTTTGAAGCTGTAAATTATTCAGATTTTGAGCCTCGAAATTATTTTGATTTTGAAAATGAAAATCGAAATTTTGAGTTTGGAAGCTGTGATCCTGATTTGATAAACCAAAATCAGTAAGCTTTTGGGAATTAAAGTGATCTTGATTAAATGATTCATTGTTTTGAATTTGAAAACCAGAATTGCTCTGTCTCTGTAGATTCAAGTTTTCCACATTAGTCTGATTAGGGTCAATATTTTTCTGAATATTCTGCGATTCTCTTTTTCGCTGAAAAATACGCTCAAACTCATCTTGATTCTGAGACTCGAAATTACCCTGAGAATGTTGCGCCTGAGCCCACTATTGCCAACGCCTTGTGATGCTGTCAGTCCATTGCGCCAATTTGGGGGTGCAACAGTACTTACCTCAAAATCAAGTTGAGCGGAGTGTAAGGATTCCGAAACAGTCACCTGTGTATCACCATTTTCGGAGCCAGAGTGAAGATTTATCAAAGGACTGTTGTTTCAGAGTGAATCCCGCCTTTGCTTTGTGAATCGAAGATGTTGAGAAATTTGCTTTCTTCATTCTGATGTATAGTGGTAGCCGATGGTAAATGACCAAAGTTTGGGTCCGAATTCTGTGTGTGAGAAGTTCTCTTTGTGGATCGTTGTGTCCTATTATCATATGTGAATTGGGTGTTGCAGTTTGGGGTTTCTCTGTTCCCTTAATCCACTTCCTTGTGTATGTGGAATAAGGGCTTGAGGTCTTTCACTTGCTGAATCAATTGCAAGAACAAGATCTGACTGTATGTGTTGGGGTTGGCTTTGGCCTGTTGATCCACTTACTTGAATGTGTGAATCTGATTGGGCATTTCTTTGGTCTCTGAATCCACTCTTTTGAGTTTGTTCTTCAGATCGGGTGGTTTGAAGATGGCCTTGCTCTGCTCGTCTCGTTTGGAGACTTTGCGATCCAGGATGTAAAGTCTGTGGTATTTGCTCTTCTGACTGTATGTACTCAAGACTTTCTGGTTGTCCATTGGAAAGAAAAAGGGATTCCAATTGTTCAATCTGCTGTTCTGTTGTAAACTTTGGGGTATATGTTGCATCTTGTACCTGGAATGAATTATTCACATGGTTTTGAGAAGTGGTGATAACATTTGGCGTCGGATTTAATGGTATATTCTGAATATTTCGTGGTTCTGTTAATCTACTATTCACAACGAGCGGATGTAATTGTGTGCTTTGAGGATTTCTTTGTTCTCTTAATCCACCTTGAAGAGTATGTGGATGTGATTGAGTAGTTTGATGAATATTTTCCTCAGGCTGCCCATGGAAGAAAACGGATTGTAGTTGTCTCTTCTGTTGGGTTGTGGATGTGAAGGGATGATTGTGTACTTGCAACGAACTATTCACTTGATCTTGTGAAATAAAGGTGCTGGTTTCGGATGCATTATTGTGGAGGATTTGACGTCCTGGCTGGTCTTGCTGGAGCTTCAAATTGTGGCCGATTTCCAGGTTTTCATGACGTGGGTCGTTGATGTTGGGTAGGGTCTCTTCCTGAAAATTTTGGGTTGGCAGTGTTTCTTGCTGGGAGTTATTGTTGTCGAAAGGATTCCGCTGAGATTCGTCATTATGTGGGGGAATTTCTTGCTGAAATCGATTATTGCTGAACTCGTTTTGATGCTGAAATTTGTTATTATTTGTAAAGGTATCTTGTTGAAACGGGCTATTGTTAGGCAGTTGTCGTTGCTGAGAATGGTTATTTGATAGGACCTCTGTTGAAATTGGTTGTTACTGATGGCAGTTTGTTGTTGAAATTGACTTCTTATCGGAAAAAAATCATGTGCGAACTGATGGTTATTCATGGCATGTTGAAGCTGCTGGTTTTGGTCTGAGTGTTGGTTGTTACTCGTTGACTTCTGTTGAAAAATCTGATCGTTTACGAATACATTTTCCTGTTGACTTTGGATATGTTGGCTGTCCTCTCTTGAATTTGTTATGGAGGCTGTCTGCTGAAACTGGGCACCATGCTGGTTTCCATGCGGTAGATTTTGCTGGTGATCCAGTGATCGTTCGCTTTCCTCTTGAAATCGACTAGCACTGTGATCTATCATTGCTCAAAAACTGGTTTTCAAAAGCGTTCTTTTGTCGAAATTCACTATTATGTGAATTAGGAGGCTGCTGTGAATGGAATTCTGCATGACTGAACTTGTGCTTTCCT